ACCCCGACCAACGTAACCGGGGAGGTGAAGTAGGACAAGTGGCTGGCAAGTTATGCCAACGTTAATCAATGTTGGGAAGTGTTCAGCGAGCTTCGTGTTCCGGTGCACGACATAGTAGGTGGCACAGCTCGGAGCCTCCGGCGTGTGTTTTCCAAGATGGGATCCAATACCGACCGGCAGTCGCAAGCCTCCGACCCTATTCAGCCAGCCATGTCAATCCCGGACTTCTGGGTCACACCTCTTCATGACGCCGAAGAAATGTACTGGGTGGCGGTTTATAAGGTGTTGCACAACGTACCTGCCTTCGATCCGATTGTACTACGAAGACTCTGTTTGGGCTCGGAGAAGCCACCGCCATATGTCGGACACATTTCATCAAGTTGGGTAAGGTGCCGAGCCTCAAAGCATCAATATAGACATGGTGCGAGTGGAATTCTTACCATGGCTGCAGAATCTGCGAGAGATTGGAAAGACCCTCGTTGACGCGCATAATCAATATCAGCGATATTGGGAGGCGAACGCCTTCAGCCCCTGCCTTGAGAGGATTTTTGATCACTGGAGCGAGTTGGTTGACAAGACGCCAGACAGTCTGGAGATTGTTGATTGTCCTGATGCTGAGGAGTCCGCGGTGACACACATGTCGGTGCGTGGATCTCCGAGCGAAGGTCGAGCGAGGAAGAGGCGTAAGACTGATAAGGAATAAGGATATGTATCACCGTATTGATACGACTGTAGCTACGACCATCATGGATGGGGCATCCCACTCTGGTATTGCACGCCCCAAGGTCAGATGTATACCAATCCTGCACCGCCTTGGGCAGACCGGGTCATGTCCATATATGCTCTTCCCACATCAATCTGCTCAGATTTTGCAAATAAGATCACGTATGTATCAAGCACATGTCCAGGAAACCATGTTTGTGAACCAGTGAGCAAGGATCCCTGCCTCAGTGTGGTCCTGCACAAAAACCATGATCCCGGATCCGTCGCGGGAATTCACGTGACTCCTTCGCCACTAACCTGCAACCCGCGAGATTGGCGCATCTCACCGTGACCTTTCTCATCCGCACGATCAACTGCTTATACCTCTATGTCATAATATCTGACTATGGAACTAACTTCTACCCCATCAAGAACTGAACATCTGCAATCATCTGTTCAGGATACCCCGTCTGGTCAATGGCCAACGTCTACGCGACTCTTCGAGTCCGGTAAACTCGAACACCGGAAGGAGCTCTTGGGCGCCAAGCTGGGCAAGACGTTGCCTGAGAAAACTCAAGCACACTGGCTCTCAGATATCCTGCCGCCCACGAAACTCACTCGCGACGACATCAATGGTGTATACAAGCGTGTCGTGCAGGACGGGATATACTGCCCTGTTTCGAAGACTTGGAGAGAATTGAGGAAGCCTCCCAAAACCGATCCCAGACATGAAACGAAGGTTTATCAACCGCTCGTGCCTATTTTCAACGCCATCCTCGATGCTGTGCCTCCAGCACTTGCCCCGCAAAAGCTGATCTACAAGCAAAAGCCGTACACGCCCCCCACAGACGGACGGCCAGACGATCGCACGAAACCGGACGCGAATTTTGTCAGAATAACATCATCTACAGCCAATGCCACTTCGATTGATAAGATCAGCTGGATCAATATTCGCGAGATTCAAGAGTTCAAGAAGGACGGGACACGAGCTGATTTGGAGGAGGTTTGTCTCCTGCCATTGTCAGACTTGTAACTCGTCTGATCTCTGCATTACAGATCATCAAGCAGATAATATGGCATTTACATATGCCCCTTGATACCGACCTCCGGCGATGGTGCGTCTACGGGTCGACGATTATCAACAACAACATGCGCGGCTACAGGATGTCGAGAGAAGGTGTGGTGGTATCCCAGGAGGTGGATATTACCGAGGCAGGTGCGAGATCTCTCTCCGCATATCTGTGATCTGATGTTGATTTGAGCAGGATCCGCATTTTCTTGTCGAATATGTCATCCGGATAGGGTGCGCAAGCGAGTTCCACCTTGGGATCGACCCCAGAATCACCCGTAATGATTCTGGCTACAAATTCCAGGTCTCGCACGGGGGTACAATGCGAACATATACATCACAGCAGATGCTCTTCAGACATCGCGTTCATCATATTCGTGGCCGTGCTACCCATGTCTTCCTTGTGAAAGAGGAGAAAGAAAAGAAGGACGAGAAAGAAAAGAAGGACGAGAAAGAAGAGAAGGATGAGAAAGAAAAGAAACCAGTCGTCCTCAAGGATGCTTGGCTGGAAGTTGATCGACTGTCGGAAGAACAGATTCTCAGCAACATCTTCGAGGTCTATGAGAAGACTATTCCAGCCGACTGCTCTGTTGTGGAGAGGAAGCAGCAAATGGAACGCGCGCGCCGGTATTTTATCCCTATCATCACTTCTTGGGCCGTGCAAGACGTGGTTCGAGGATTAATGATCATGACGCCTGGCGATGTCGAAGATCCGGAGAGCAGTGCGGGCGTGTTCGAACTTCCACGAAACGCGGCTCACGGCCAACTCGCATCCGCCACCCGTAGTCTGGGAACGAACCTGAGCGAAAGTTACCCTCCTGTGACACCTGCTGCGCGCAGAGCGCTTTATACACCTCGCATACAGCGGGCAGCGGTGGAGAACTGTCTATGGGACTGTAGGTGTCCCC